TAAAAAAACACTATATAACAAAATGATATGACTAGAAAGATCCTTAATAAAAGGTAACAAAACTAGTGAACATATTGTCAATACATTCATGAAAGAAAGAAAGTAAAAGTTTTCAGTTTTATGCTTGAATATGAAGAAGAAAAGCAACTTCTTGTCATATGTAATTTGCATAAAAGATTAAATCATAAATATTGCATATTACAATATATTTTATTTCACTATCGTTTTCAGTAAAAATGAAAATGACAGTACAAGTAACATCAATTTAATTAAAGTAGTTAAGATTGTCACTGTAAAAACAAGTAAAAAAATATATTAAAATGTTTACAATATGTTTAACATGAATTATCTACCTACCTACAGTGTATTAGATGAATTTCAATTCAATAGAATAAAATAGTTTGATTTGTACGCTTAGAAGAATAAATTCATTGTAACTAATAGCAAAATGAAGTAGTTGTGTTTTATTCTATTAATAACTCTTCAATTTGGATCTAATCCATTCCAGTGTTGTTATTCATATTTGTAATTAAAACTAATACCTTCTACTTCAAATGATTGATACGTTATTTTTTGAGGTATTGAGTGAAGATATTTACTCATTTGTTCAATATGGTTTGATATTTAGATTATTTTGGGAAAGGATTTGAATAAAGTTGTGCATCCAGTTGACAAATCCCAGATAAAACGAAATGTAAGTCATAGATTCCTCTACTAACCAGAAGATATCTATTATGTGAACATTTGCGATAAAATGATGATATTGATGAAATTTACACAGAATGTACGAGTGCCACTGATGAATGATTATCAACGATAGAAAGTTTCAAATGTTTTTTAATAATGATATAAAAGAAACACATGAACGAAATGATACTGATTCCACGTACAGTTATGCAAATAATCAGCAATTCTATTTGGTGAATATTTTTAATGTTTGTGAATTTTTGAGTGGTAAAGGTTCTTTTATATATCTGGAGAAATATTTTGGTTCGACGAATCACTATTCATGAATGTTAAGTTCTCTGAATAAGGTTTACTATAGTATCATCGCATCTTAAAGATGATTATACGTTCAGTGATGAAAAAACAAGAACGGAAAAAATTATATAATACAAATAAAGATGAATTTGTATATTAGAGGGAATAGGTTTTATAATGAATGAGTTTTTCAAAACATGGCAGAAATGATTATTTTCTAATTTATTTGTCTCCATATTTCTAAGTAGCAGGTGAGGATCTGCAGATAGTTTTGAGTTCGCATTTGGTTACAGTTATTGATTTTAATGAGTGTTATTTGACTGGTTACAGGATAAGGTGAGAAAACTCGAACATAATATGGCATCTCTATCTCATATGAGTTCATTCACGTTAACAAAATATTAATTATTTTAAGAAAAATGTCTGGAAGTCTTGATATTCTACATTATTCATGTATATAGTTGGGTGGAACTCCTCAGTGATTAATTAAAAAAATGATTACATCATTTTATTGTTCCTTATTGCTTATTGTCTAATCAACCATGGATTTTATTTACGATTGTACAGATTTCAACCAACAACAATTACACTGAAACATTTAAAATAATTTACTAACAAACTATTCACAGTTTTACTGACAAGATTCTCATAAATTTAAACAGTAAGTAATAATTCGCACAAATGATTGATTATACACAACCGTTTATAAGCAAGAAGTATTGACACATATTTTATCCTAGTATGGTAATCTTCATCAATGTACAGTCAGTGAATCAAATTATGACAATTCAACAATGCCTACATACCACATATGCAAATCATATTCATATGTTCACTAGTAAAATTCTAGGAGTTTTAGTGAGAAGCCGCGACTAATGGAGCTCAATCATTTCAGGTGTCAGACAGTTATCGATCACAAGCCATAAGAACTAGTAACTTAACACCGTTGATCAATTAAATGTATACAAATACATCACTGGTTTAGGGGTTAGACGTTCGAACATGAGATATAACGTCCTTAATTCAATCTCTGACGGTATCGATGATTACTGTGAACTTGATAGTGTGATGATGAAAAAACTTGATAGCTCAAATAGTAAATAATAAACGGCATATTTATTTTCCGAATTTATCTTCGATAAATCTTATTACCTCAATAGATGACTATTGGTATCAAATAGTATTGTATAAATAATATATGTGTAAATCATATAATTTGTGAGTAGTAAATATATTTTGCAATTAACACGTAGGTATAATTGTTGTCTTAGTTAAATTAAGTTTATTGATATGTGGCAGAAATACATATGAACCAGTTCTCATTGTTAGATTAGTTGGCATATCACTTCATCAAGGGAATTAGGGCCAAGGAAGGATGAAAGGTTGGACGAATCGTTTCTGCTCACAAAGTTCAGGCTTATGTTCTATACAGAAGCATTTAATTAATTGTCGACACATCGCTCCAAAAGATTCTTTTTTTAAAGTAATCTACACAGTCAAAGGAACTGGATTGAAGCTGTGTCGAATAAATATTTTATGCACTGCTGAGTCATTGGCAATCCACAAACTCAAGCCTAAACTTTGCGTGCAGAAACAATTCATCCAACCTCTCATTCTTCTTTGTTGTCTTAGTCTTTGATAATGACGGGATAACAAGATAAAATTACATTTATTTTACTCGTGATTTTTTGTTCAACATTACTTCCGTTTTTTAATTCGATGTGATAATTACTTCTTAATGTAACATTCGGTTTTGTTTTCTGGTATGATATTTCATTCTGTATAACATACAACATTCTTGTATTCAGTTGACATAAACTATACTCCACCTAACATGGAGCATGTGATTTATTATAACTATGGGCATTTTTCATATATGCGATTTCATCCTAATTAATAATCAAAATAGGTTTACAATTAATATATGTATCGAGTTTATTTTGGACTAGAGTTGTCGTTGTGTTTTAGGATTAATAAATTTTCACTTGTATCAATTTTGGTGTTGTTACTTCACATCGTAGAAATTGCATTGGTTTCTCATTTTACAAATATAAATGATAAAGTATTCCCACATAACAATTAACAACGAACAAACAGAACAATTTGGCGATACAGTCATAATAGTCTTTTACTTATATTATCAGATCATTTAAAAAAAAAACATTGACAATCAGTAACTAGATTCAATTAGCCAAATCATGTTCAAAAACCCATTAGTCTCCATTATAAAACAAATATCTTTTTCTTTTGAATGAATTTAAAAATAATTTATTATTATTATTATCATAATATACTTGTATATGTATAGATGCATAAAACAGTAATTGTGTATTATGTAAAATGTTAACTTGTCAATATTGAATAAACAGTTGTATGTCACAAATATTATTATTATTTAATGTTTCAGTTTAAATTACTGGAACAAAATTAAAAACAAACCTGACTGCAATTGAATTAAAAGAATAGAGGTGGAAATTGTAAAACTAAAAACAAAACAAACAATCAAAAAAAAAGAGAAACGAAAACATCCGCGATAAAAAGGAGAAAAACAAAACAAAAATCTTATGTAAAACCTAAATCAACATAAAATGATAATAATCGAATAAGAAAAAGCCAATGTGTACTCACAGAGTAAAATGATACAAGCTTTATTACATTACATTAATTCATTTTACCAAAATTACAATAATAATATGTTTTGTTTTTTCATTTCACACTGTTCGTTTTTTATTGTGATCATTTAGAATAGAGAAGATTATGTAACAAGGTGTTATTTTGATCATTAGCTTGAGGATAAATAAGATCTTTTTTAGCCTATTGTCAAGTTACATTGGTGTGGTTACATTTTTAACACTTAAGCATATGTTTGCGACTATATGTGTGTGCGACCATTCATCCGTGTATATATGTGTGTATGTTTGTATATGTCTTTCAACGAACGCACATATATTACGTCATGTGAACATATGTATATAATTAAATAAACAAATAAATAAATATATCTCCTAATCACTTATAAAAGAAACATTATAATATGTTTTCCTGAATAGAAATGTACTTCACGTATGTTACTAAGGATTTTATGCGAAAACAAGTTAGTTTATCTCCTTGTCATCATATATATATAACATAATGTTGTCCAGATGAATTGAAGTGTACTTGTGAAATGTTTGTAAATAATAACATTTTGAAATATAGATGATTTTCAAAAAAAGAAAAAAAGAAAAGAGTTTAAATTGAGCAAAATTCTTTGTTTTTAAATGTTACTCTATTTTTTATTTTTATTTTGCTACAAACAATCCAAATTAACACATGCATACAAGCACAGATACGTACAATTTCAAAAAAATGAATGAATCAAATGAAATAATATGGAAAAGTTAGTGTTTATTTTTTTTCTATTTATTTAAGAGAACAAAATATTTATTGGGTCAACATGTACACTCAGATAAACTGACATAAAGATGAATACATTCATATATGCTTCATTCTCTTGATTTCCTACTTAAGCTATCGATTATGATGGATGTAAGACTTCATCTCAATCGGTACAAAAGATATATATTTAGTTTGTTTGAGTATTTGTAGATCATTAATTGTACCATACTGACTTATTCAATTGTAATAGGTAAATTAAAATTGAAATTGACAATTCATTTAGTTGTTACAAAGAATACTATAACTATGAAGTTATAGCTTCGTTTTCACTTTGACAATTCTTTTTTGAAAAAGAATTACAGAAATATTTATTATTAGTTTCTGTACAGATAACGTACATGGTTGACTGAATGCTAATAGTGCTAATAATATCAGTAGTAATAGTAGTAGTATCGTTCTTATTAATATTACTGACGATAAATGATACTGAGTGAAGATTGAATCATTCAATCTAAATTCAGTATGAATATATAGTAAATAATAATAAAAACAGTATTGCTAATCGCACAAACAATATGCATAAAAGTATATATATATATATATATATATATATATATATATATATATATATATATATATGTGTAAATTCTAATGTTCTGTAATTGGTGCACTACTACGACGATGAGCAAGTGCAGAAAATCGTAAAACTGTACGATCATAATTTAAATCTAACACTTTTTGTTCTAATAATTTATTATCTTTACAACGTATTGTATTTGGTATTGATTTTAAATCAATTTTAGATGATAAATAATTTGATTTATTATTTTTTAATTCTTCATATAACATATGTAATATATTTGCAGATACTGTACATGTAGATGATGCTGCTGATGATGATGACGATTTAATAGTAGATGATTGAGGTTTAATCTTACCAATTGGTATATTAATATGATTATTTCTTGAATGAAATGATAACATATTTTGTGTATCATTTTTTAATAGAACAACAGTACTTGATTTATTTGATAATGAAAAATTAAATGTTTTTCTAATAGCTAATTGAGTTTCCGGTAATGAATGTCGACGAATAACACGTGTTGTAATAAATATTGTTTGATGTAATTTTCCTGAATGTAAATTATTATTATTACTATTATTAGAATCAAATGATTCACATGTATTCATTGTATCGATTTCTTGAATTGGTGAATTAGTTAAATGAATTGATCCTATAAAAGGTTTTTGTAAATCAATTTTATTTTTTTGATCAAATTTCTAAAGTAAGAAAAAAAAAAGATTTAAAAAAAAAGTAAAATTCACTTAATCAGGATATTTTTGTAATAGTTACATTCACGAGTCGATTTACGCTAGACAACTATGAAAAACCTAGAAGCATTGAACAACCATTTCGTCTTAGTATGGCACTCTTTAGTACTGTTTATTCACGATCCCAAGATCTTCGGTCTTACGCGTGAACGCTTGAGTTCTGGACTATTGAATCGATATCCAACAGTGTTGATGTAATGTTTTATTCGAAATTTCTTTTTTTGTTTAAATGAATTACACAAATTATAATTCGAATGTTCAGATATGTTTATTACATTTATCACTATTCAAAAATAAATTTTAAAGAAATAATCTAAACTTGATAAAGATGTATTTTTAGTTAAACTTTTCAGTTCAAGTACATTTTTAACATTCATACTATCAAACTTCATAAGATGATTGAAATTTTCATTAGAGAAAACGAAAGTAAGTTATTTTTATAATAGATCTTCTAACGTCCATGTGTGTAATAGACATTTATTAGCACCGTTATTACGTTAAAACATTAATATAATCTTAAATAATAACTGAAATTACAATATAGGATTGTATAGATTGCTGAATTTTGAAACGGTTATCCAGTGTTTCTAGGTTTTCAATGACAGTCTAACATTGATTTTAATCAATGACTGAACTGTTACAATGTCTACCAACTATTAATTTTGAGTAAAATCAATTATTACATAACATTTATATTGATTAAATCTTATGAAATCATTTTTGATATTCAATAATTTTGATTATCAAATATTTTTAATCATTTAATTTAAATACTATTAACAGTCTAGTTGTTATAGTTAATATTTTGCATATTTTCTATTATACATCTATGAAGTATAAATGATTATTTGATTGAAATATTGTTACAGTAACCAGAAAAAAAAAGAATTTCATGAATTACGTTGGATATCCAATTAATTTTTGCATTGAACTGAAATCAGTCAAACAATTACTAAAAGCCAAATACCATTAGATAAATAACTTCTATGATTAAGATCATGAGTCAGTTGAAGCTAGACCACCATGGAAAACCTGGAAGCACTGGATCTTAATCATTGAAATTACTACAATCTCCATAAAACCCCTTCTGAAAATAACTTCTACTTTGAAAATTCTTATCAAAGCGCATTAACGACATCACAAGGAGATGTATCCAGTGATTTTTTGGACTGAAGAAGATGTAATACACATACATCATGAGATTGATATCTGTCGCTTCGTAATTAAAAATCAACCAGTTTATTGTATAGTGGAATCATCAATCAATCCATTGTCTTTATAGGTCACAGTTGAATGTTTTACATAGTTTATGGCAACTCTTTAGTTCGTTATGAAAGTTATTCTCAAATTGAACAAATTAATAAAAGGATCCATCTAAAGTTCATCGAATAGATATTTGAACTATGCTAATTTTATGAAGTTGTAGATAACAAGCAGTTAGATCATCGTTTTAAGTTTAAACAGTGTTTTATTTTTAAAAGCTGTATAACTTGATAACTACAAACAAGTACATGCAATAGATGTAATCAGTCAATGTAATTAGATACAAACAAAACAAATCAGATGGCAAAATAAATATATATAAAATGGAATACTAATATCTAAATCAACAGAAGTAGTTCTAGAACTTCAAGTAACAAACAAAAGCTACGTGAAACATTGGATTTAATCATTAAATTATTCGACTTTCAAAACACATACTTGATTATTTTTATCCCTTTTCAACTAATTCTATTTTTCAGTAGATAAATTATATTTCTAGCTCACTAATACACAAAACTTATGATTAAAGCCGAGTAACAAAAACTTTTCCTGTTACCTCAATTACATTAAATTATTACTTTAAACTATTCATTTCACTTAATATTTCATGATAATTTTATATCGTCTTTATTTTACCTGATTAGTGGACATACATACATAGGGTGGAGTAATCAAACAATGCAATCAAAGGTCATTGAACATGTGCCTATATGGCTTCAAAACCAATTAGTGTCAAATGGTCCGATCAATGTGGATGGTAGAAAACCATGTTCATCGATAGCAAAACAAATTATTGAAACGGGGCACAAAATTGACATTAATACAGCTTTTAAAACGCTGTATAGAAATTTTCAAGGACGAATTCTCTGGTTTATTGAATACTTGGCTATTCTTAAATTTACCCTCGCATTACGTGTACAAAAACAATTTGTCGTAACTTTGAATTTACCCTGATAATCCTTAAGTCATTTTGTGGCTTACGATTACACAACAATTTCTTATTCTTTCTACACGATGAAAGAAATGTTTCTCTCCTTCTTTTATTACTTTTTCTTACTTGAACTTTCATTTAATTGACCTTTATAAATTTTCTTATAAAAATGCCCTAACAAGTACATATGCGACCAGATTATTTGAAATGTGTAGCGCAAATACATAACAGTTTTTAGATCAATTACATCTTCCAGTTGCTTTAACAAAACTTATAAAAAGGACTAATTGCTTTAAAAAATATAATTAACACTAAAATGTGCTGAAAAATAAAAAAACAATTCGAAACAAGAATTCCTTAGAAATATTGAAAAGGAAAATAACAATTAAAGTATGTATATTCTTGATATTCAAATCATGAAGGATACTAACTCACTTGAGCGTGTTCAGCGTGTGGGAACGAAACTAGTAAAAGGTCTTCCTAACCTCCTTTTTTATGGGAGCTTTAAATGTCCCCCTTGTATCGTAGGACGCGAGGTGACCTTTAATTATGGTTTGGGTGTCAGTATGTGTTATCTTTTTGTTCCCTCCAGACTAATAATCTCCGAGGTTATAGCAAGAAGGTTCACAAACCGTGATCTAATAAACTTAAAGTGGAGTCCCGTTCTCATCGAGTGGTCAATGACTGAAACGCCTTACCCGAACAACTGGTATCAGCCTCATTAGTGAATATTTTCAAGGAGAAGCTGGACCTTCAATGGAAGGCAATCTGTCAGGATTAACACAGGTTCACCAATCTACTATCCTTATTACTAAGACTGAAAAAGAAACAGTCCCCCTTACGTACTAACAAGTTAAATGTAATATAAATATGAAATCATTATAAAAGTTTATTCAACTAACCTCTGATTTAATAGTTTTTTGTTTAATTTGATCTAAATGATGAATTGTTGAAATAGATTGATTATTATTGTAACTAAGTGGTAATGTTGATGTCAGTTGACTGTCTAATGAATTATGACGATTAACATAATTTGTTATACCTGATGATGATGTAGAAGATAAATCATTTAGCCAATTTTTTAAATTCTCATCTAAATTTTGTAAAATTTTCAATGTAAGATTATTTTGAAAAAATTCATGCCATCCAGTTAATAATGGCTTCACCATATCTCTAATAAATCCTGTGAATTTTGTTAAAATAGTTAAGAGAGAAAAAGGGAGAAGGGGAGAGGGAGAGTTGAGGAGGGTGGTAAAAAAAGAATTCAACAATATTATTAGAAACATATTTTTATTATGAATGTAATATTATTACAAACCAATTAAGTAGTAATTCATAGATATAAAGTTGAAAACTACATTAAATTATTGTATTGTCTCAAGTAGACACAAATACTTCACATAACTACAAGGACAAAAGGAAATAACCAAGAAGCGAAAAGCCAAACAAGTAGAAAACTTTCATCGGAACTATTTCAAAAGGAGGAAAAATGATGGCAGTGTCTGATATGTGCGGAATGACTGTGACATCGTTATTCAAATAATAATGAACAATAAATGTAACCCAGATGGATAGTGGATAGCAATGGAATCCAGGACACGTGTTTCGTCACATCTGGGACTAGTCAGTTGGATATACCTACATCCCAGAGTCAATGTTCACTTTGGGACTCGAACCCAGTACCGTTCGCCCCAAGTGCCATCGCATTATCCACTTGCTTCTGCAAAGGGGTGAAGTGTAAATTTATTTTGTGTTCTTTGTCCGAATCTTAAGGCAATATCGAAGCAATCCGCATAGGATGCACATATGCTAGTAAGAGACTGATCAATCTCAGTCCTAAACATAAATGGGAAGATCCCAACAAATAATACAAAATGAATAAATATCACTGTATATTATATAGGACTATTATCTCGTATACCATATATAGGATATTTCCCAAATTACCAATTACCAAGTTCATGAATTGGTACTGTATTTCAATTTAGTCTCCTTCCAATAAATTCGTATTTTTTAAGTCATCAAATTAACTGGTGACTGTCTAAAACAAACTGGATAAATTTATGTTGAATACAAATACATGTAGGTAATATTATTGAAAGCCATTCATAATACTAGTGAAAGCTTAATAATAACGCCAAAAAAAAAAAAACTCACTAGATGAATTTAACAAAAAAAGTTATTGTGTATATAATTCACTACATGACAAATGTAAATCACTCAATGCTAACAAAATCTATAATGAAATATATAAAGCTCAACTGATCTCTGGATAATTACCTATTATAAAGTTTCAATTATTCTGTCATTTTTTTTCACAATTCTCAACAAGACATATTTATTCTGATCAATAATCAAACTGAATATTACTACGATGTATGATTACATACACTTGAGAATGATCATGTAAATATCGTACGCGCTAAATAAGTTCAAATTGAAAGACTATTGGTTCGAGGACTAATGTGAACATCAACACAGATATACCCTGCTAACAAGTTTCAGATAGGACGAAATAAGTCTCATGGATTCCACTGTTAGTGACAATCTATCTATTGTAAATAATCTGTCTGTACTGTAATGGAATATCTAAGGGATAATTCCTAATCATTCGTGTATTACTCAAACTGATAACCGTTATTAGATAACTTCCAACAGTGTATATATTTCAAAATACAGTACAAAGCGTTGACTACCGTTTATCATTCTACAGTGCAGATAGCAAAGCTACAGGGATACGAAGAGAATATGAACAGAAATGCTAATAAGAATGAATGACAATGAACACTCGAGAGTGAATGAATCAACGGAATTTGGGAGACAAACATATATAAGAAATCAAATGAGCCATCGTACGATTTAAGCAACTAAGTTAATTGAAGTACTTAATAAAATTGAATGTATACAAACTCAAGTGTAGGTGAGGTACTATAGTACTAACAGTTTATAAGACTTTTAAATATTAAATTAGTCGACAAAAGTGTCTCTGTATCTTTTTTTCTTTCAAAATCGAATCATAGTTGCATATTGAAAACTGGTTTGATCACCTCATATATTGGTTTATTCATTCAGTCCACAATGTATTGTTATTTGTCATGGAAACTTCCACTGTTTATTTCCATTTAAAAAATGACACATTAATCTATGTTATTTTAGTATGTCATATAAAATTTTATTGAACATATTTAATGGATTGCAAAACCATAAATACAAATGCTTTCGCTTAAATGATTTAAAACAATTATTAATATGATCTTATTCTCAAAAGTAAATGAATGCCTACTTAAATTAGCAATGCATTACATTTAAGCTTTACATAAATACCCACTGTCTTATGGGTGTAGATGAAATAGGACATAATGCATGAATTTGTCATATAGGCGTTTCCCACACTAAAATTGTTTGAGTCATTCAGTGTATTAAGTTACTGAAACACAATATTATTTACTCATACTGTGAATAGTGCCCCGTAAAAGTATAATATACTGACGGGCTTGAGTTAATTTATCAGAATTCAAATAACGCTTTATGTATTTTGTTCAAAATTTATCGTGCAGTGATAGGTAACGTGCATAGTCATATTAACCAAATGAAAATTCTCAATATTTTGTTCTTAAAATGTTTATAATTGATAAAAAATTATCTACTATGCTACCAAAAAGTGAAGTTTAGATGGTTCATGAATTAAGGCAGACTGTATGTTAAAGTACTTGATGTCATTCATTACGTAGTCAAGATTGTTTAATGAAACTAGATAATATTCTTTTCCTAGTTTTACCCTAAATCTCAACCCTAAGTTCCTCAAATTTGTAAACAGGAAAATGACAGAGCATTGGATTATAGCTGATATCAGTTCGTATTGAAAACCGTGACCCTAATTTGTAAGCCTAATTCAAAACTTCAGCTGATCTCTTAATGTCTAACCCTAACTGTTTTGCATCGTAACTGATGTCATTTAGGAACGAAAACTCTGTAAGTCTGGAAACTTAACTTAAAACATTAGCCCAACTCCTAATATGTATGTATGTACGTACGTACGTATGTATGTATGTGTGTATGTTTGTATGTATGTATGTAAACTTGACCTGTTTTCTTTGATATAACGGGTAATTTGACATTAAAGGATTGATTATTCAAAGCAAAGCTGTTGTTTCACTGTTATTTCATTACTTTGTACTGTAAAATATATTACAACTAGCAAGCATCGCTCAAGGTCGTCAGAGAATAATATAGATTTTAAAAAAATAATATGTTTTAACAAATTTTAGTTTAATGAATATCAGAAAGAAAAAAAGTAATGAGAAAAAACAAACGAGAAATATCACATTTGGAAAAAAATAGAAACGAAAATTATTGCGTATTTATTGTGTTGAAATAAAAAGTTTTACAAAGTGTGTATGGAGAGTTGAATTAGTAATTAGAAATATGTTCTGAAATAATTATTTAAACATATATATATATATATATATATATATATATATATATATATATATATATATATATATATATATATATATATATATATATATGAAGGAAGGAAATTAGGTCGTTGAGCTAAATTTTAATAGATGTGTTCACTGAACTGAAGTGTAATAATTATTATTTAAACACATAAATACTGGTACAAAGGGACGATGAATACATGTACGTCAAACAAGTCACTTGATTTGTGTGGGGGCTGTGATATTGCCCGGGTGCCCAAACCGAAGCTGTTAGTGTTCTTAGGAGGCTACAATCGGAACTCTCGACCTAAAGGTCTGATCCACAAGGCAGTAGAGAAACGTAAGGAGATGTAGTCCCATAGTAGCTGGTGATCAATAATTGGTTCACACGCCATTTGTTCTCTCAGGATACTGGAGCTCGTGTGCACCATTGGTTTGCAATCAGGGTTTTTCAACTCCCATAGGTGGATCCTCCGTATCCAAAAACCCGGTTAAAGCACCAGACACTCACTTTTCGTCCTCTCAATTTCGTAAACAACACCCTCACCACGAGAAAGCAGTGAGCAGAACTTACCTGGCAGTGGCTGTATACGCTTGGCCATTTAAGAACATTTCGAGAGGGAAAGTTGACTCTCCCCACCCTCGTCCATACTAGGGCATTTGGGGGCTAGCAATTTATTGTTATTATTATTATTGTTAAAACTCGAAGACATTACGCGTTAATAAATTAACCATCGCCAGCTGATTTGTTTAGGATTGAGATCATCCAATAATGATCATTCTCTTGAATCTATCACATCAAATCGAATTATGTGTTTTCACCTTTATGCCTAACACAAATTCAGATCTGCTTACTCAGATTATCCATTACAAAAAACGTGGGCAGATGGGTGAGTGAAAAAGAGGGCACAGTTATAAAGAGGAAACATGATTTAGAGTGATCATCAAAAAGGTCTACATTAATAAAGGTGAACATCAAAAGAGAGAATATTACTTTTAATGGTATGAAATCTCTTTGATTTATCCTCTTTTCCTATATCTGTGACATAATTCGGAAAAACAAACGTGATTTTTTAAATGTTTAATGAAGAGTTTACTTTAGACAAATATTGTAATTTTTTGGGAATTCGTGACAATTTGTTATTCACTAATACAAAGCCCCAAATTAAACTTCATGAATTCCAATTCCATACCAATGAAGTGTAAGAAATATAACTAGGGATGTGATTCGTTGACTTTGTTAACATCTGTTTCCTTTTTGACCCTAATCAAATATTATATATATATCATCACATTTGCACTACAAATACTTAAACGTAATTAAGTCTATTTACACTTACATTTTTGGTTACCTGAAATTATCTAACAAACTCTTATTCTCTTGAAAATCTAACACATACAAACATGCCTTCAAATAGATTATCCTCTAGCTGTTCGGTATAGATATACAAGATAACATGAATGAGCTAATAAAGACTAACGAATTGTTACCAAATCCGAAAAATTACAATATTTGTTGAAAGTAGACTCTTCATTAGACATTTAAAAAATCATGTTCATTTTTTAATTATCACAGAGACAAAGAAACAGAGGATAAATGGAACAGATTTCACTCCATTAAAAACAATATTCTCCCTAATGATATTCATGTTTATTAATTACAGATTATTTTATAGTTACCCTTATAAATGTGTGTCTTTATTTAACAGCGCTCTTTTTAAATTTGACTCTTTCATAGTCGTACTATTGCTCGTTCCGTTATTAGTGTGAACACAAACTCAGATATATTTTATTTTCTAATAGCGATTACTATGTTTTATTATTTAATGTGATGTATTACTAGTTTACATTATGAATAATACGGTTATTTAATAACGAAGGAGGAAACAAAACATACGAAAATGAAAACAAAATCATGCATACTAACCAATTTGTACTCTTGCTAAAGTAAATTTTGTGCGATCCATTGTTGGTATAGGCTGTAATGACCATTGAAAACGTTCTCTATCACCTTGACAAAATAATTCACAACAAACACGTATTGCCCATTCTTTACATATTGGCCAAATTCGACAAGGATTACTTATATCTGAACATTTTAAGGCCATCTATAAAATATATAAAAGGAGGCAAAAAGATGGTTTATCTATATACATATATGATTTCTGCGTAATCAATAATTAAGTATATTCAACGTTTCTATATCTTTCTTCATCAGTTGTTGTTATTCTTGTTTTATAAAAATAAACAATGTTTACATTGTTTGTTTGCTGAGATATGTATTTTTTTTGTTGTTGAAAAAAATCAAATTTTATGACAGAGAAGAGAATGAATTTTTTCTGATAATTCGTTTAATAACAATATTAGTAAGGTTTTTATGATATATATATATATATATATAGCTTAAAATAACTCCGCCTGGAGCCCCTCTGGGGCTACCGCCGGTCCCAAACTCGGATAAAAGAGAGTGGTTGAGCATGGGGTTAGCAACTCCATCCCGTAGAAAACTAACTCGCTAAAAAACGCTAACCAGAAAAAATTATTCAAACCATTAAAACTCTGTCCTGGGAGTCAGAAGGTCTACATTTAGGAGAGTTATGACGCCTCATGGTGAAAGTCTAGTTCCTTCAAAAGTCACTAGCCCGGTGCCCCTTCTGACAACCAGAGCAATAATTTATTTAGGTACATGGAATGCTCGTACAATGTGGAAGACCGGGAGAGTCTTCCAAATTGCTGCAGATATAGCTTAAAATAAATGACAAAATAAACAATCGAACATCGACAATATACGCTTATATAAATTAACTTTTGAAATTGTTCCGATTTACATATATATTAGACAAAAACTAAAAGTTATTCCATGTGAGACCATAATTAATGGACAACCTTTAAGCGACACCAAAATGACCTTGAGAATGTTCATCCAATAACTAGGACCAAATGTGGGTTATAAATTAGTGTGAGGAATTAGAATTATTATTTACAGTTGATTGTTTAGGTTAGGAATTAGATTTCGGGTTTCCATCACGAATTGACATAATCTACAATGTCAAAACTCTATTTAGTCAAATGGATAAGTGATTTTTGCGCCAAAATCCAAGACCTGTTATCTTATATCTGATTGGTTCGTTCATAAATTATAGTCTCACCGTTTAGTAAATAAATTAAATTATTAGAACATTAGTTCATTCAATTATCATTTTAATTAATCTGGGCTACGAATCTTATTTATTATTTTAAAAATATTAATTAAGAAATATTAAATAATTGTCAATGAGTGAGTAAGTCAGCTACAACTTAGGACCAGGCATATAGATATATATGCATCGGTCCAAGTTGTCACACCTCATTAGCACAGTAAGATGAGCATCATATTCATAAAAGTAGTCACTTCAATGGTAGTAATAATTGTAAGGAATATTTACATCTTAGATAAACTTTTATTAAGAATAGAGAAGTTTACCGTATAAACATTGTATACTGATTACTATGCAATATTATAAAGATATTAATTGTATTAGAATGAAAGAAAATACAGTAGAGAAAATTCCCTTTACTTCTTATATCACTGAATTATCTTCCATTTCTATTCAGTAATGTATTCTAAGGTTGTACATTAAATTATGGATTATACTGACTGCGTGTAATATATGGATTAAAAATAAGACTAAGTTGCTTAAACAAAGGATGGTACCTATAAATGCAACATTTTAATTTATTAATTGAAATATAATTTGCATATTTTGAGAGTGGCTGTAGCTTTTTCATACTTGAAACGGTAATTTCAACAAATTAAAAAGTGGTTTCCTTTTCTGTAGAATCCAGGAAATGTGTATTACGTAGAACTCGTTCTTAAATTTCTACATTCTGATTGCTTTAAGCCAAAATATGATTAATTGTGGTACGTTTTCATTAACCCAGATTTCGTTTTAATTCGTACTCATCAGCAAAATTAATTCTTCATCTTAAAAAAATTGATGTTTCTGGTGAAATTTCAATTCAGATTATCGATTGTTACACTAAGAAACACGACCATTGAGTTAGTCGACTCAAACGCCAATCATAATAACATGGAGCATGTGATTTCGAGTAATTTAGCTTAGTGGGCACATTGCTACATGATCAGCTCGAGGGATATTGATTACAATCAAGTGAGCAACCTCATACAGTTAGTTCCTTCGACAAACGTTTGCAATCAGTTAATTTCTCACCAAACTCAGTTTATTTGTAATAGGCTGATGTAACCACACTATATTTATGAGAAATATTGGGACTAATAACCTTGAAACTTTCATTCTATTTATCACTCAATTAGCACTTGTAGGAATAATCCGATAAAACTCAACAGAGTACATAGCTAGATGGACATGATCAATTCCGATCGATTCTTAAATCGCCTTATTATATGCATATATAGCGTATTCGACAAAAGAAGTTATCTATTCCGGTCTAGATTCTTTTGTTTTTCATTCTTTTATATGATCAAAATTAGTTATTTGATCAAAACAGGTCTGGAAAAATTAGTTGATGCATGTCATTAAAACCGTTAAAATAAGAATTGAATATTGTTCATTCACTACTTATCACCAAAGTGCTTTAATCAAAAAAATTCTGTTACCCTTTTTGTTTTAACCTGTGTTACTTTAAAAAAATAGATCTTTGTTCTCTAAAGGAGTGATATGCACTAAGTCGTAAATTTTCTGTTTATTGAGATGTAACAATTATATTGTTAGAAATTCTGTTACATATATTGAAAACCTGGTATATTAGGTATCTGCATACACCTATCATCAAAACCTAAAGATGTCATATTTTATTATATTTCTGTTTGGTTATATTCATATGGTATTATTTTACCCTTTGGTTGCATAAAACTTTCATTTATGGAAACCTCATACATTTTAAATACCTCTTAATGTTATTCTAATCGAAATTCCTCAATAATTCATGACTGTATTTAAATTCACTGTCATAACTTTAGTATTATTATCATGAAATGAATTGTTATTTTTTTCAAAATAATATAATCTAATTAATGAGTTTATAAGCTTACGTTTCCATTATTTAATTCAATGTATTCTTACGTTAAAAACTTGATAAAAAGAACCCACTATGTTAGATATAAATATAGATCCTACAGAGCTAAATGAAATACACGGAAATAAAACGATACACTACTACGACAGAGAACAGATCGTTAAATATATTCCTCATTAAATGAATTGGTCGGCACATAAATACCATGGTAATATATTGATCGTTTAGTCAGTGTATCGTTTGAATGATAATAGCTAGAATCTCATTGACAGTATGAACATATTGTTGTTGTTGTTGTTATATACATACACATTTTAGAAATAATAAAACTTTTAGCAAATTAACTACTAACACTAAATAGAATAAATTAAATGATTAATTAATGTTTGTTTTTTACATACTTGCATGATTAACAGGCGATCAGATATCGTATATGATAATGATGGATTAGCCATATGATAGTTTGTTAAATCCTGTAAAAATAAGTTACATAAATTCGTATTTATGTATAAATTTAAATATTCATAAATATTGAAAACAAGATCATTCTGAAGGGATAAGGTCTATAGTATCAACCTAATTTTTTTTAGAAAAAATGTCTCTTCATACTAACAGACAAGTAGAGTGTAGGAATAAGTAATATTATTTAACTACATTACTTACACGTAGCAGTTGTTTTACTGATAATTAAATAAGAAACTACCTGTTCTTTGATTATCTAGTTTAATTATGATTAGTTAGACAGTATTAAAATAACATTGTTCTCTCTTGTCTAGATTTGTTAAATTATGGTATGCATTTCTTATTTCACTATCTATAATGTAAGCATCTTGCATAAACAAACTTTGCTTAAATATGGAACTAGATACACAATTATTTATATGTATCTTTGTCTCCAGTTTATCCGACCTTCAATGTGTATATTCAAATGAAGACGATACTATTTGTACACCAAAATCGAACACAAGCTTTACAATATTTATAATAATTGAAAAGATAGTTGATTTTTTTTATTTATGTAAAAGTTTCAATAATTATCAATTGATTTTCATCACAAAGTGCTATTAAAAACAGATGACATTTGTTTTAGATTAATTCACTACTTCATAGCATTATATAACTGTTACTTTCATTGAGTCAAAATCAGAGTTCAAGTCTCAATATCCCATAGATACAATAATCCCCACGGATAAATTGTCTTATCATTATTGATCATTGACTAATTCTGGTTTATAAGTTATTTCCTAATCTAAGTGGTAAAATATACGAAATATTATTTACCTTGTTATCTGTTTTATACGTTTCCAGAATTTCATATATATATATATATATATATATATATATATATATATATATAAATGCTTTTCAATTCTTAAAATAGTTAAGGGTTTAGAATTCAGCAAAGACGTTAGCATCTCAATAATTTGTTACTGAAGCCTAAAATAAAATGTGAAACCCTAACGTAGATATGAATGTACAATTTACTATTATATGATAAACTATCAGTGAATAATCACTGACATTATCATTATATATAATCCTTAGTGGGGTTTATGAATTTGTACTACTAAACAATCTCATACTAATACGAAACAGACTTTCAATGTTTCTCACTTCTTAGTAATTGGTCAAATAAAATTAATATGTGATGTTGATTACTTTTAAAATGATATTGAATAATCACTTAGAAACAAATGAAAACTATAGTGAACTAAGTTTTAACAAAGAATAAGTAAATGTAACAAAATAAATACAGTGTGAATAAATGAAAACAACAACTTCAATTTCTTTCTACTCTTCATTGTCTTCATTTATCTCTAGTTTTTTTCCTCCAACAAATTAGATCAGATCAATTCTATCGATATAAAGATTATTTAATTTTTTTCATTATCTTATCATTAACTTAGATTTTATTATTTCATATTGTTTTATAATAAGTTATCTATCATTTTAAATGTTTCATTCTCTGTTCATTTACTTATACACAAATGTATTAAGTTCTTCACAATGATGGAAGTAAATGATATCGATCAAGAGAATAATAATAAATGATAAACAGAAGAAACTATTATGATATGGTGGTAGGATAGACATCAAATTTTAAATAAAATTGAGAATTAAAACAAAAGTAAACTAATGTGATATATATTAAAGAAGAATAGAAATAATTTCAAATCGTCTTAAATTAATCAATCTAAATGAATATATTATTCTATTGTGTTTTACAAAAATACTTGAAAAACTTAAAATATTACATAATTATTTCCGATTATGTAAAACCAATAAACTCCATCTTGAGTTTTCTAATCACTAAGAAAAAAACGGGTCGGTATTCTTGTTTATTTTGATAATAATAGTAGTAGTAGTGAATAACAGTTAAACAAAAAAATATATGGTTTTACTAACTTCTTAAGATACATAATATATGTTACTGTATCATTTTAATTATCATGATTGCTAATGGTCAATATATCAGATTATCAACTTTAAAGGTATTTAACAAGTTAAGATATTGAATGAATTCAATGATAAATATTCACATTTTTAAGGTTTAACTAGTTTGAAATAGAAATGATATTGATATAAACAATTATAAATAATTTCAATCGTTAAGTCAGTTGAAGCTAGACTACCATGAAAAACCTGGAAGTACGGGATGGCTGTTTCGTCCTATTTTGGGACTTCTCAGTAGTGCGCATCCACGATCTCGCCCCCCGCGAGATTCAAACCCAGGATCTATCAGTCTTGCGAGCGAGCGCTTAATCACTAGGTCACTGAGCTGGCCGGCACCAACGGTGTTAATGTCTAACTTCAACTAATCCACGAAATTGAGCAACACATCTATCATTGTCATCAGTGAGTTACTATCTCACAACAGACCTGGTTGAACTCCACTGGTCACTGCTTCTCACTAGAACTCCAGGAAGCCAGTCACTTGTAAGCATATGTTGATTAATAGCAAAAGGGGTTTTGTGGATATTATAGTAATTTCAATAGTTAAGATCACGAGTCGGTTGAATTATAATGAAAGTATTTTACATACAGGTAAATTATAAAAAGAAATAACAACAAAAAAATGAGAAGTGCAGTAAGGAAAAAATAAAACAAACTATCATTGTGACTTATTTACTGATTTTTCCCTCCCTTTTCCACCTCGACGGCCCCCCACCCCTATCGCCACCACAACAAAAATCATGATGAAATTGACTTCAACAAGAATGTAATCTATTTAAGTGATATTACTAATAATGAATAATAAGATTATATACATGTTATACTTGTCAAAATAGTTACTGACCAAAAATGAATTAATAATAATTCAATAATTATTCTAATAAATATTATATTACATTTTAAATAAAAATATTTTGACAAGTGACCTGATTGTTTGAAATCTATATATTCAATTTTTTATTTATTTATCTACGATCAACTTTGCTTTTGTTTATATAAGACTAACTGTTTGAAATTGATAATGAAAGAGTAAATATTAAATAATAAAGATTATTTTAATAAATATTATAATAATACATTTAGATAGGATGCTAGTAAACTAATTTAAGAATTCATGAATGAATGAATTGAAGAAGAGATTTTATTCTCTTTTTTTTAAAAAAAATAAGATCTATATCGAAATCAATAATCATATCAGTTTCACTGAAAATTTAAAAAAATATAACTGAAATATTCAGCTGATCAGCAATCTATAGACTTTTAGTCTTTATGTAATTAACTACTTGAATTATATCATTATATATACATGTAAGGATGAAAGAGAAGGGCTGATCTGTAAGTAGAAAAAGTTTAAAATTTCGTTGTACACAATAACTATCATATTCCAAAGATGAGTTCAACATGAACTGATATCGATCTAGGTTCTCACATTTTAAAATAATACAGCGAGAGAAGCATACAAGGGAGGTGTACGAACTAGACGTTTATCATTGGCTGATTATATATACGTTAATAATCTCGCTAGTTAAATATGGAAGAGATATGACGAGCGAACAAGTAGGATATTTAGTATTAGTACACTAGTCATTCACTAAGTAGTGACCAATACCGCACTGTCCACTTATTAGTGCTAAACAAACTGTAAAGATTAAGCTAAATCATGACGGTTAGTTTAACCAACTCAACATTGGAGGGAAGATTTTAAGTGGTAAACGGCAACAGCCAGTAGAAAAAATACAGAGTCCGAGTTTTAAACTGTTCTTCATTTGTCTACAATCTTCATGAAACTGGTTCTCTAAAAAAGTTACGAACCTTAAATTTTCGGACTACAATTGACTACCTGCATGACTGATATATTTAATCTAACCAGTGATGGTGAAAATACGACTGATCACTCTATTACCTAAGGTGTCTTTGAATCCTTAAAGAATATAAGTGCATAGTTAATGTCCAAGAGAGGAAACATTTAACAAATGAAAAAACGTAATCACAAGTACTATCCAAGTTTTACCCTGATTTTCGATAGTTCAAGTTAGATTATTTGATTTATAGAAAATCAATAAATTTATCTAAACCAACATCAAACTATCGACTTTTAGTGTTAATTAAATAAGCTAGGAAAAGTTGAAAAAAAGACGATGTGCTCCAACTTACTTTAAATTGTTTTTGATATACTCCTTGATATGTAATATCAGTAGCTGGAATTAATTTTAAAAAACAGTCACGCATGAATTCCCTATGAATAAGAAATAAAAAAAAGTAGAATTGGAAATATAATATTCACATTTCATAGTGTTATTTTGAAGTTTTGTATTAAAACAATTTATGGTTTTTTTTAAAAAAACGAATTTCTTATTCAGGAATAGTCTGTCAAGAAAATGAACCACAAAACATTTCAAGAAAAGCGAAATCACAGGTATGTACGCTAAAATAAGTCAAAGAATACAATAAAAGGAATAAGTAGTCTTTATGATAGTTTCTTGATTTTCTAATGACAAATTTTAAGTGTTAACATAGTTCCAAATGGCAATTGATGTTTTCCATGGAGTAATACCACTCGTTTATTCCATAAACTTGAGTTTTTTTAATCCGTGTTAGGTAGAGACTGGTATCTACCTCGTTACAATGGAAGATGGTCGCACAATTTCGTGGATTGGTTGAGGTTAGACATTAACACCATTGAATACCGGCTCAGTGGTCTAGTAGGTTAAGCGTTCGCGCGCGAGACTGAAGGCCCCGAGTCCAAATCCCAGAAGCGGGATTGTGGATGCGCACTACAGAGAAGTCCCTCAATAGGACGAAATGGCCGTCCAGTGGTTCCAGGTTTTCAATGATGGTCTAACATCAATCGGTTCGTGATGTCAATCTAAAAGAATATATTTTCTGTTGTGGTTGCTCTAATTGATCAACAAAGTTCTCGAAATTATTTAGTTACTTAAATATCCTCACACAATTATGTCATTTATTTAAACACATTAACATTGGTACACGGAGGCACTAGATATACGCGCCATACAAAGCATTTAGTTTATGTGACGGCTAGGATACTGCCTGGACGCTTAAACCAAAGCAGGGGTTTCAAAATTATCAGATTTCGAATAGGAGAATGAATGACTATCTAATTGAATCATTTTATCATTATTACTATTATTATGACAAAACAATGAAGGGTCTCAACTTTAAACAAAATATAACCAAATAGTTATAACTCTTCAGATCATAAATAATAAAAGTGAAATCAATTTCATAAAATGTAATGATTTTTTTAGTACCAATTGTAATATCTAATGTTTTTCCCATGTTCATTCCATTATTGAACTATTTAACATAAATCAATAATTCTGACATAAATACTGAGACATATATTTTAGTGGTTAACATATGTAAATGTATATCATTCATGCTAATCAGTAGTATACTCACTTAACTAAAATATAGTGTTATTTCTTTTTTTACAATTACACCGATCAGCAGTATGAGAAGAAATATTTAGGTTAAAACTGTTTAATCATTTTTATTGAAGGGTACTGGGATGTACCGGGATCAATTCAATAAGGGACTAGATATAAGAAATTGTAACAAAACTAATGTCATGAACTCATTTATTAAATATGACCAAAAAGGGATTAACAATATAAATTATTATTATAATTAGAGTTTAAATATGAACACAATTATTTGACAAGACAAATAACTAACCAATCTTTTAATTCTAATGCATTAGATAATCCATTTTCTTGAAGAATGCATAAACCAAATTTTGCATGATGTTTTTCCAATACAGAAACCGACTAAATGTTTAAATAATAATAATAACGATAAAAAAATACAGAGGAAGATGTATTAAAACACACACACACGCAAATAAAATACTACTGTTATTCATAATAACAGTAGAATATTATTTGATCGAAAAAAAAGAAAGAGAAAGAAGTTCAATGAAATAAATCAATGAAATAGATGAGTTACATACTTAACATTATTACTTAATATCTTGAGACATTTTTTCTTTATATGAAAACACAATAATGGAACAGAAACTCGACTACTTCATATCACAAATCTAAACATATTTCATACCCAACATAATACACACAAATAAATGCATGAAATGTAATGATGTTTGATATAGAATCAAATTGACTAGAAATAATATGACATTGATATGTTCAGATTAATTAATGATTTTAATGATCCTAAGAATATTCTGTTTGAATTTATTTGTACTATTTAAACATTTGTTCATTTATTTTGATTAGTTACTTATTGACTCTGAAGAAGTGGTTCTTATTAAGTCACGAAACATCAGAAATACAATGTTACACATGTTGAAATATCACAAAGAATATAATTCATATGAACAGAAATTAGTTATGTCATTTTCATGATGGTGGTTATTTTTTCAATTTCATGAGTTATAGAATAAATAAATTATTTTCTAACTAGGAATTCCGAATGTGACTTTTTTAATTAAAAGTGAATATCAAATTGAAATGAAACTAACAATCTTAAATATTTAAACGAATTTTTAGATGTGGTTAGTTTGTAGGTAGTATTCATCATGGATTGAGTTGATTTAGGGCTGTATCGAAAATCAGGGAACACTGGACAAATTTTTACCCATAGTTTGGTCACCGTTTATTGTGATACCATTTGAAAGCACTATTGAAGAGTTTCTTACTAAATTTAAACAGATCCGAGGCCTTCTAGTTTAATTGATACTCCAGATAAAATCAGTCCGTTATAAATACTGTCTGAAAATCATTAAGATTACTGATTTACAAAAAACGTAGTTGTTCGTTCAATGTTCATTTCAATCTAGTTACTGGATGTTGAACAATAAATTCATGCAACACATGGAATGCAAACAAAGATTTTATGAGTTACTACGTTAGTCCATTATCACTAGATAAACAAACCATGTTCAGCCGCGATCCTTTTTCGGGTTAAAACTTAAAACTCTTAGATCACGTGTGGTAAGTAAAATGTCATTTAGTTAATTAGCCGAAATTCGGTAGTTATTATTCTTTTAATTTTAGTCAATTTTTAATCTAGTGTGATCTTCAACTATATTTTGTAAGCTTCTGACAACTTAGTTTTCGATTTGACTGATTTGATCTTAAAGTTCTACAAAAACGTTTATGGATTGTTTCTATACACATAAATATCCGTTCAAATTACAGCTCAGTCAATCCAAAACATTCCAAAAGCCTTCAAACAATCTTTGGTTAGTTCACACAAATTATTGCTCGTCGAAAAGTAAGATATTCGAAAAGAAAAAAACCAGCAACATAGATGAAATATGCACATATTTGCATATTTATATATGTACAGATATGAGTATGCATACAGAATCCACTAAAAAATGTATTTGATAATCTGATCTCTAAGAAAACATTAAAATTAATCCTTATTCAAATCACATATTTTAAAAGTAGATTGCGTTTACTAAGCTAAAAATACAGAAGACTAATTAACATCAAACAGCTCTGACCATGTGTTTCATTTTGGTTTACGAAACTCTAGTTCATTAAACTGACTGATCAATGAATGGTAATTAATTCCACGCCTGTCTGGGCCCTTGTATTGATCGAATTCTCTTAATCCTCTTAATAGATTTTGTTTGCCCCAAAATGCCCTGGTAGCCCCCAAATGCCCTGGTACGGCCGAGAGTGGGGAGGGTTCGCCCTCCCTCTCGAAATACTCTCACACAGCCACGCGTATACAGCCTCTGCCAGGGAAGTCCTACTCACTGCCCCCTCGTGGCGGGGGTGTTGTTTACGAAAATGAGAGGACGAAAAGCGAACGTCCGGCGCTATAACCGGATCCCAATTCTATGGTGCACATGGGCTCCAGTATCCTGAAGGAACAAATGGTGTATGAACCAACTTTTGGTCACCGGCTTCCATGGGACTGCATCTCCTCACGATGTTCCACTGCCTTGTGGACTAGACCTTTAGGTCAAAGGCTCGGGGTGTGGCCCCCTAAGAAAACCACCTGCTTCGGTTTGGGCACCCGGGCAGTATCTCAGCCCACACACTAAAACTATGATGAACTATCTGCTTATAGAAAATATTCGTTTCTCTCCGACTAACATTGAAATGACTGGTACTATTATTATTATTATTATTATGATTATTTACTACATCATTTATTCACTATCTCCTATTTCTACTTTTTGTATCCGTTTCGACTCAGACAGCAGCTCGATTATGGTAAAAATTCAGCTTTATCTAAACGTTCTCGAGTCACTGCCTGGTTGAAAATTGTATGTTGCCACCAAATACGAGTACTGAAGCAGTTTTTCTGAAACCACGTGCACCATTCAAACTGGCTGCCTTCAACGTTCGCACACTTATGCAGGTTGGACAACAGATAGGGCTGGCTATGTCTTTGGAAAGTCTTAATATCAACGTCTGTTGTCTATCCGAGACCCGTATTCAAGACTCTGGTGAAGTACTACAAATTCGCTCTCCATCTGTCACTTCAAAAAGCTTGTTTTATGTGCGTTTATCCGGGGACCCTGTGGCATCTTCGTCTGGTCTTGCTGGCGTTTGTGTCGCACTAAGCGCAAGAGCTGAGGCAGCACTAATCGATTGGATCCCCATTAACAGTCGGTTATGTGCTGTTAGATTAGAAAGTTCCATCAAAGTGAGAAGAAATCGGCGTGAGAAACGATGTCTTTTCGTCATCTCCGCCTATGCCCCGACAGATTGCAGCCCGGATGCAATCAAGGACGAGTTCTACCAACAGCTAACTGTTCTTCTCCAGAAAGTGCGTTCGACAGATATTGTAGTACTAGCTGGAGACTTGAATGCTCAGTTCGGGCGTCTAGGCACAGAAGAGAGTCGTTTAGGTGGCCGATGGGGACTTGTTGGTCGCAGGACAGATAACGGGGACCGTCTACTGCAACTATGCACAGACCACAACCTGTTTCTGGCTAGCACTAACTTTCGGCACAGTCATCGCCGATGTGCCACCTGGCATCCCCCTTCTGCATCTCAAGCCTGGACTCAGATTGATCACATCGCGATCAGCTACCGCTGGCGCGGTTGTGTACAAGACTGCCGCTCCTTTTCGAGTACCTATCTGGAATCTGATCATGCTCTGGTCTGCGCCAATCTTACCTTACTTTTCAGTGGACAACGAAGTGACTGCCACCACAGGATTGATGTTAGCAAGCTGGCTGCAACTTCTGTTGCTAGTAAGTACCGAACCGAGCTAGCTTCTAGGCTAGCTACCATTCCACTGAAAAGTATAGATGAGCATTGGTTGCAATTGCATGATGCCATGAAAATGGCGGGTCAAGTCAGTTGTGGGTTTGCGAAACGTCCCGCTTACAAGCACTGGGTTTCTTCATGCTACTTACAACTCATTGAAGCCCGTCGGTCTACTCCGGACGACCGTGAGTTTGACCACAGACGAAGGATGTTACGTAACGAAATCGGGCAAAGCTTGCGTAAGGACCGAGAAGCCTGGTGGTCGGAGCGTGCCAGTGAGTTGGAAGCAGCAGCTGCATCTGGTAATTACCGGAAGCTCTTCCAACTCATCCGAGCCACTGGCAGCAAGAAGTCTGGTGTGAGCGAAACAATCTGCGAGGATGACGGAACGCCAATCACTAACATCCATCGACGTCTTGGACGATGGGCAGAATTCTTTGAAGGGCAGTTTAACTGGCCTGCTGCTCCGGCAACATCGGTCAGACTGTCCTGCCCTCCATGGCCGGTGAAGACTGATCCACCAAATGAAGTAACTCCAACTCTTGAAACGTTACAAATCACCGGGCCCAGACGACTTACTTCCGGCTCTTTTTAAAGATGGTGGTGACTTTCTGAATAAGGGGCTGACGACGTTGTTTACAAAGGTCTGGGAACTAGAGAGTGTACCAACGTCATGGAATTTAGTTGATAGTCGTCCCTATCTTTAAAAAGGGTGCACGTTGTTCCTGTAACAACTATCGGGGGATAAGTCTACTTCCGATTGCGTCCAAGCTATTGGCTTCCGTCATACTTCGTAGGTTGTTCAGAACCCGAGAAGGATTGACTCTCGAGGAGCAGGCTGGGTTTCGTTCTGGTCGAGGATGTATTGATCATATCTTCACCTTCCGCCAAGTGTTAGAACACCACCATACTTATCAAAGGCCAATAATCGTAGTGTTTCTTGATATCAAGGCTGCCTTCGATTTGTTGGACAGAACTGTTCTCTGGGATTGTCTATTGAAGAAGGGTGTGCCTGAGAAGTTTATTAACATCCTAAAATCTCTATACACAAACACCTCAGGCAGAGTGAGGGCATACAACCACCTCTCTACATTGTTCTATTCGAGCAGTGGGGTTAGGCAGGGTTGCCCAATCTCACCATTCCTCTTCAACTTTGCCATCGATGACATTCTGGAAACAGCTCTGATGTATGTAAGTAATGGTGGTGTGGATCTGTTGCCTGGAGAAAGACTTCTCAACCTTGAGTATGCGGATGATATTGTCTTACTGTGCGAGAATGCCCAAGCCATGCAATCCGCACTTAATCAGATGGCAATCAGTGTCCGTAGGTATTTTATGTGCCTTGCACATTCAAAGTGCAAAGCACTTCTACAAGACTGGCAGAATTCTAATCCTGTACTCACTCTGGATGGTGAGCAGATAGAAGTAGTCGAGAAGTTCGTGTATCTAGGTAGCTGCATAAGTGCTGGTGGTGGGTGGTGTGAGTGATGAGATCAATACACGTATAGTGAAAGCCAGAGCGGCTTATGCCAATCTGGGCCATCTTTGGCGCCTTCGTGATGTTAGTCTGG